TACGAACCCTGATATATATGAGAGAGAGAGAGAGAGAGAGAGTAGCTTAATAACTTTTCTTGATCATGTATTATGTGAAAACTGCATATGTACAGAATAATCAATTTCAAATAATACTTTATTAGAATGAGATAGAAAAAAACGCGCACATTCTTATATACCACAGTAATTATGGTTTCACATTCTTTAAGGAAAAACTAGTATAATTTAAATTGCAAAAATGTTTCTTTGTAACTAACTTTGGATTTAAACTATTTCCTCTTGTATATGTAATCTCAGACTGCAAAGAAAACCTCCTCTTGACCATTTGTCAGATCATCATAGTATCAACAAGCACTTTATTAGTGTTAATTTAAAAAAAATTAATTTAATTAATCTGAATAAGTTCAGAACCTGAAAAGACATATAGTACCAGCTTAGAATTTTTTAATGTTAAATGTAGTCTGAATTTATGATTATCACATTTTGTGACTGTTGTTTTGTTTATTTTTCTGTTTAATCAAGCAAAACAATATTATAATTTTTACAGTGACCAGGGTGGTGTAATAACAAGCTTGAAAAAGATAAAGTATTACTTTATTTGCTAAAATGTAACAAAGCTCTAACCTACATACACATTATTTCATCCAGCTCGAGTCTTCCGATCTTCTCCTCAGTTTGGGTTTACTCTGTTGACGTACGAGATCTTGCAGAGGTTTTTCTATGTGGACTTTGGTGGCAGGTAAGTTCTCTACAAATCAAATAATTTCACACGTCACAGGCATTAGTTGTAGTCTCTTTTTATTGTAAATTCTGTAATACATTTCTGTAAAATCCTAGATTCATTTGAATTGCAAGATGTTATTGATTTACATTGGCTAACTATTTATCTATATAACAACAAAAAGTGATTGTAAATATTTTCTGTTTTTAGTCATTGATTTTTAATTCAAAATTCATATAGCCTAGTATATGTTATAGAAACAAAATGACCATTAAGCAAACAATCTCGGTCTGTTTATTTTTTCATAAGTATAGCTGACCTGTAGATTTCAGCATTACTATAAATACTTGTCTTTTGTTTGTTCTAATGATAGTGCTATTTACTTTGAGAGACATCACTGCTTGGTATCAGTTTGAAATATGGTATCATCATGTCTGCTTGACTTTTTATAGCAACTATAATTTTATGTTGTCAATCTCTCCCACTAAATAAATACAATGCAAGCAGTCTAATTTAGTTAGTGCTACCCAAAATGTTTCCTTTTTAGACCACCACAAGGCTCTGAAGTTACAGTTCCAGTCCAGCCATCTGAAAAGAGATCCGAACACCCTGATCATATTGGTGGCTACAAGCTTGCTAGGGCCGTATTCTCTGGCATGGAGTCTAAATTTGGTCTTTTCCTTCCAAGATATCGGCTGCCTGCAAGTGGTGAAGCAGTCTAAAGACTTAGAATGAACAGCATTTCAAGCTTTCATTGTCTTAGTTAAGTTATTTATCCAAGCCCACATATACAAAAAATCTTTAACAAGAGAAAGAAAACCCATAGAAATAGGTGCTACATTTTGAACTTTCAACTATTGTAGTGTGTGTGTGTGTGTGTGTGTGTTCATGTTTTAAAGTTTTTTTTATTGATTATTAGCACAGCCTTCCCCAAGTTGGTCTTAAGTTTCCTATTACAAAGTTTTATAGAATAAATCGGAGTGACAGCAAAATGAAATCTTTCAAAGATACAACTTCATAGTGGATTATAAGACAGTGGTTTTTATCAGAGCTATTGTCAACAGTCTAGTCTTGTTTAGCAGTTCATTTGAAACTTGAATGTTAAAGATTAGAACTACACACAATCATATATTTTAAGCGTCAAAGGTTTTTTTTTTTGTATTTTATAATTACTTCTCAAAACTGAGAGTTTTAAGTATTGTATACCTTTGAAGAAAGAAACGTTTCTTTAATAGAAAAATCAATTTTGATGTTATGTTTGAATATTGTTGTATATTTTTAACTTTAGTTCACCTATAAAGTAGTCCAGTCTTTAGAAGTGAATTCATTCTAAGATGCTCATCAATGTTAATTTACCTTATTATCAATTACAACCAGTAGGCCAAAACAAGAAAGATTCCAGTATGTATATTTAGTCTAGAATTCAACTTGAAGTATTTTTACTGTTTTTAAATCTAAACCTAGAAATGATACATTTAAATTTATGACATTTTGTTGTTAACAATAATTACAACTTGTACAGTATTAAATAGTTCAGTAATAATCCTGCTGGTAACATGTTTTCAAATTGTTGTTGCTTTTTGCTCATTACTCTGCTCTCTATGCATATAGTGAATATCATTTAAGTATATTGGAATGTTCAGTAAATTTTAATATCAAGATATGTCTTGCACACCCTCTTGTAATTTAGCCTTAACAATTTTCAGTAGAAAAGATTTCCACATTCTTGTTACAGGATATCTTTTTACGTGTTTAGAAATGTTATCAGTGAAGAAATGAAGTTGCTAATTTTTGTGCCTATTAGAGCTTTCTATAGCAATTTTCAAAGGTTAAGAGGTTTTAAATTTTTGTTTGAGTTTACTAATATACATTTCATTGATAAAGAACATTAATTTGTGTCTTACTTTTAAGACACTTGAACAAAGCTGAAGACACAAATGCTCAGTCATTAAATTTATGTCTGACTTCACTTTGACTTCACTATATTCTCTCAAGGTAAAATAGTCAAATTATTAAGAACATTGTAATGCCTTGTATCTATGCTACACTTGTAAAACTACAAATTACCTTAAGAGCATTCAATTATTTCTACTTGTATAGGAAAACCATGTAAATATAATCATATCCAGTTAGTACACCTTTCTGTTCAGTAAGTTTTCAGTTAATTCTTATTTTCAACTCTTTTAAAGTATAGATGTGAGATTTTTTTTAATATTGAATATCTGATAATTTTGAATGTGTTATATATTTTTTTTCCTCTATATTGTACGATTTATAAGTATAAAAGGGTTAGTAATATTTACATTTCATAGAAGCTTTCTAGATACAAGCATATACATCATTGTTGAGATTAATTGTATAGTTAATATGTTTGTGTTAGTATACTCAAATTGTTAAAGCTGCTTGACACAATAATGCATTCAAAGTAAGTTACTTTGTACAGTGAAAGAGGAACAGTGTCATAATTTGTTACAGGGGATAAGTAAAAGCTGTAAATGTGCTTTATATCAGAAAGATGAAGTGCCTTACAGTGTTCACATATTCAAGATCAATTTTACACTTATAGCTCATTTGTTTTGAATGAGAAGATACCATATTTTATATCTAAATATTTTTCTGGACTGGTATTTTGTTATCATTCAATGAATTTTTATCATGTTGTAAAGTTTATTGGAAGTGTTTATAATACAATGAAACAAGTATCTATACATAAATGTTCGATAGTACGCATTTAGATAAGGTATAAGGTGTTACCATTAACAAAAATCTATATCTGATCCACTGTTTTCGAGTTATATTTTATTAGCCAGTTCAAGAAAAATACATTTTATATTACTTCCATCCTACTCCAGGAAAGTAGTAGATATAAGTAAATGTTATGATACGACTAGGGGAGTTTGTGCCATCCAGATTTATATACAATCTTCATTGATATATTAATTATAATGATCAACACGTGTCTTCCAAACATCCAGTCTTGTAAATGAAGTAATACAAACAGCTTTGAGGAAATACCAATAGTTTAGTTCATTTAACATTCACATGTTAAATTTACCGAGGGCATCATTTATTGCAGTCCTAAGCCCAGTGGGCTTGGGAGAGGATTTATAAATCTTTATCTGTTCACAAGTTTTCATTGAATTTTTCTTATGATGTGAAAACTTTCACAGGAAAAATTCTATTCTATATTGTTATATAATTCGGGCATCATCAGATTTTTTTTTTTTTAACTAGGCCTGTAATTTTGTAAAATTAAAAATGGTAATACTGAGCGTCAGAAATAGTTCTGTACAGCAGCTTACTATGTGTATTGCTAGAAACCTAAAAATTATTTGTAAGCAGTCATTTAGTGTGCCCATTGCACAGGAATAACAAAATAATAATTGCAGTAAGTGATATTGGTGGACCTTCTCCCCAATTTCTTAGTTTATTTTAAAAAACAAATTGGGGATATTTAAACAAACATACAATGAAAACCTTGAAATTCTTTGGTCTTTGTCTCTCAGACACCCTTATAATGGTTGAATCGTGTATAACATACAGCCTGCTCTTCTCACAAAATAGAGGGAGTGATGATGAGTAAAAAAAAAATTCCATTTCAACTTGAACATCTGCAGCCAAACTCCACTTCAATAAAATGTAAACTCCATCAAATGACAAATGTGCTGATGGAGGAAGTAGATAGTGTGAAATCGTTTTTCTTACTTAAGTTTTAAATGTGTGTGTTTGTATACACATAAACACCATCTTTTAACACTTGCACTAAATATTTTTGCCTAAGCTATAGTGAAACCCATAAATAACATTAGTAACATATAGTAATTTTTAAAAAATGTTTACACAAAGACCTTTAATTTCTAAGTTTAATCTGTTTCTTTTATACTCATTTCACATTATTTAAAGAAAACCTCATGAAAACACAGTTGGTTAGGTCCAGATCTTTCAATAAGGGAGAAACCAAATCTATTCTTGCTCATAATAAGATAAATATAAATCTATATAGTGATAAATATGGAGTTATTCAAAAATATATTTTTGAACAAGCTTAAGTGAATATTTTTATTATTAATTAATTGAAGGTTCAAGTTTTATATGTAATAATTTTCACTGCCACGACACTATAAAAGTGCCTTTTAATGCAATACAACCTAGTAGTATGAAATATTAATTTGAAGCAGTTACAGTAACTTTACACTTTCTTTCATTGTTCTCTCTCTCTTCATGGCCAAGTGGTTAGGGCGCTTGACTTGCAATCTGTGGGTCGTGCATTCGAATCCCCATCCCACCAAACGTGCTCTCACTTTTAGTCATGGGGGCATTATATTGTGATGGTCAATCCCACTATTTGTTGGTAAGAGAGTAGTCCAAGAGTTGGTGGTGGGTGGTGATGACTAGCTGCCTTCCCTCTAGTCTTACACTGCTAAATTAGGGACAGCTAGTGCATATAGCTCCTGTTTAGCTTTGCACAAAATTCAAAACATACTCTCCCTCTTATTTGTTAAAATAAGTGATCCTGTGAAAGCGACTCAAGTGAAATACATTTAGTTTAAGAGATTTTTCAACGTACCTTAAAAAATAAGCATTTCTTAGTTTTAACCCAGTGTAGTAGTTCACAGTAGGATGGTATTATGAGTAGCTAGATTTATAGATATGTTAAGGAATCATGATGCTTGTTTTTGACTTAAGGATATGCACTAAGGGATTGTAGATACATCTAAAAAATCTAAATCATGTAAAAGTATTAGAATTTCCTTGAGGAAATTAATTAAAAATAATTTCACCCCTTTTCTAAAGACTTTCAACGTATAAAAACGTTATACTTATATAGTCAGAACACTATAGGTGGCTTTACAATACGTACTTAAGTGTTTTGTGTGCTTTACACTAACTCTTAAACATTTTGGTCATCCATGTTTTTGAACCACAATAACCAATTCTTATTTCTTGTATGTTTTGGATATATGAGTGGTTTATGTGAGAAACTTTCTATAGAGCAATAAGATAGAACAGTACTGTAATTTAGTTACAAAGCACAGAGTTTATTATATATAATGAGATAGTGATAGGGATGTTATGATGGTTTGTGGATTGTTAGCTGACACCTGTTATTCACCAGATTTGTATAGTTTTTAAAAATGAAATAAATAATGGTAATAACCAAGATTATTAAGTGCATAACTATTTTGTGTGTGATCTTCAAATTGTTTTACATTAACAACCACCTGGATCACTGCTTTTAAAAACTATTAAAACAATGAAAATTTTAAAATTGGATATTTTGATGTATAGCAAGTATAAAAGTGTATAGTAGTTCAACAAAAAACAATTTTTGATTTTTATCACTATATTTTATAATAAACAACTCGACCACTCAAGTAAATACTCGAATATTTTATGTCATAATGAATCTAAGTTTCAAATGGACAGCAACTGCCTGTTGTAGAAACCTATAAATGGAGAGGAAGACGTTTCGGAACTCTTCCGCCTGAAGTTGAGTACGATATATTTAAAATATTTTGAATATTCAAATCAGCAAGTCACGTGAAAAACGCATCACTATGTAACTTTTGAAACCTTTACTTATTAATTTTGTAATAAATCTATTATTACGGTGCTTATCGTGAGGGTACCCAACTGATGAAACAATGCATTCTAATCATTATAAGTAATATAATTCTATCTTTATAAGTAAACAATGTATTTTTAAGAGGAATAGCTACACTAAACTAACTCTGTGAAAGCTATGAAAGATCTCGCAACTTTAAACAAAGAAAATCAGAAGAGATCTTTATTGAGGCTCTGTGAAAACTCATTCACGAAATACTTGAAAACTCTCCATCTTCTGGAGCAAATCTGGCTTTTTATATAACAATAAACTATTAACATGTACAAAGTCAAGTTTGCACTCAGTCCCACAGCGAGTGAGCAGTTCGTGTAAAGGTCTTTGCGTCTCTTAGCTATTGAATAATTTTTGACAAGAAAATCAACTGTTTCTCTAACTACGAAACGAGTTATATTTCTCGTAGAAGAATAGGTAATAATAGTCTAATTATGAACCCACCTACAGCATACTTCTAGTGAAAGAGAAAGTTGGAGAACTTACTTAGACACCTCACTGCTTCCAAAAGGAGAAAGATGAAGAACACAATAATGAAAAAGAAGTGCGCATTAGCTAAGGGAGTAGAAAACTTAACACGGTCCCGTACTACAACATGTTATTGATAAATCGGCATTGCTTCAATAACATAAAGTATACTGTGAGACAACACCAGTACCTAGAGGCGGACTGGACTCTAAACTTTTACTCGAAGAAAAGCTAGAGGGGGTCCATGAATTTGGCATAAAGATAACAAAAATACTTACTTCAGAAGTATATGTAATTTGTTGTTAAAACACTAGTATGACATAGTTCATACAATAAGAAATTTTGAAAACGTAGAGGAGTCCTTCAGAACATAGGAGATAATGGCTTCAATAGAAATATCGTGCAGTAAATCCTTTTCGATGCACATCATTATTGTCAGAATTAACACACATTAATTTATAATTAATGTGATTTATTGTACTGACAGTAAATTAATCTACTTTTTACGTGATTTTCCAAGGGGAAATCACCAGGATTTGTCTCGGTGGGTCAGTCTGTGCCTGCCAGTATCTGATTCCCAAATGATGCTTACACCACTTGGTGGTAGAAGTTATTATCGCTCATGGGTCATAGTGAGCCGGTAATTGGCTAGCCGGAACTCAAATGTGTCATTTTGGGGGAGCTTTAAGCACCTTAGCAACTCTCGCTCTATGCAGTTGACCTATCTGCTGCCTGTGTGCGTATTACGAGTTAATTTTTTTACTTTCACCTGCATCGATAATTGTTCACAAAATTGTCATTTTATTTCGTTCCCATAAAACATGTATACAATTTGCTTACAGAATTTTGGGAAAAAACAAGACGTTTCACAAATACATTATTTATTCACGACCATGGTATAACAAATGATGTATTTGTGAAATGTGCAATTGTCTTCTTTGTAATTGCGGAGTTTCACCAAGTACTAAAGGTTTCAAGTATCAAGTACATAATTTGTTCGGTTTATTTTATATTTTCTCTAAGTACAGTTTAGTTCATTATTCCAATCTTAACTTCAAATTATCAAACACTATAGTTCTCAGCTTAGATACTCAGCCAGAGTATTCTATTACTTTGTTCTCATTCTACGAAGAAGAAGAAAAAACTATATTTAAGAATTCTTCAGGCCAGATTCTAGTCTCTTTCATTCCACCTGCAATAAATCTCCAATCCGGTCCTTGCAAAAGCTACATCCATGAACCTATTGTTATTTCGAAGGCTAGTAAACGTTTTGTGCATGGTAGATTTTCCATTGTATTGCTAAATGTATAGTAGTTTGAGTTGCTAAAAAGTGTTTTATTTGTAACCAATCGCGGTTTAACCCTTTAGCTATGTTGACTAGGGCACTCATCTGGCGTATGATAGATATTGGGTTCATGTACAATCCAAGGAAATAATACAAGACAATCTGAGTCGAGGTAATATGTTGAAAAAATAAATAAATAGTTAAAGACTATTATACATGTATCAGAAAGAAATGGGTTGAAATGTTTAAAATATTGTTTTTACTATAAGTGTTGTTCAATGTTTTGATTGGTTTATTTTGCGTATATTTTATCCTTATTATGATATATTTCATATTTTAAAATCCGAACTGCACCATATGGAGCTCATGGACTGGACAACAGGCCAGAGACCCCGTTAAGACATATAGTCATCTTATTCAATTAAAGAAGTAAATTATCAAAATTCAATTAATATATAATAAAATTACGATTAACTTATTTTTGTTTAAGTACTTACAAAAAGATTATTCTCCTTTACTTGGTTAAACCTTTACTCAATAAAAATACTTAGAATTAAGAGTATAAGTATATAAAGTAAATAGCCAAGTAATATATTACATATATTAAAATCATTAGATGAGGCTTTCCTGAGCATAGCAGGTTGGGATGAAATCAATAAGAAAAACTAATCTCTCTCACCTAAATTTTGTTAAAGTCAGAGTAGTATCAAACATGTCTTTACTCCATTTTTTCAATCCCAATAGCTTGTCAAATTAGCTATATGTTTGTTGCAAGTCTCAGGCAACTCTGTGATTACAAAAAAAAATGAAGTGGCTATAAGTTTTATCAATATTCATAGTAATATCACGTGAATTAATAGAAGACAGAAATCGAAATAAAGAATACTTACAATAACGCTACTTGAAGTAAAACAACTCGTTAAAAGTTTAAAATATTTAACTTTATATATGACAAGGCAGGTACATTTTGTATTCTAAAAATCAACAACACCAAAAGAAAATTATGTTTCGCATTTAGCAAAGTTTGATAACCAATTCCACAACTAAAACTCATAGTACAACAAATATTATCTACTGTTAGGTTTATTTAGTTAGTCAATTACGAAACTGCATAACTATTCTAGTCTTAAACTGAAGGTTTAGTTTAATAAATGCATATTCTATATTGTCATAACGGTTCATGACCGACACCATTCATAGATTTTGCTAGTTTCGTTTCTTCGTTAAAGAATAAAGGCAAACCAAAGTGTGTTTTTATAGCAAAGCCACATCGGGCTATTTACTGTGTCCACTGAGGAGAATCGAACCCCTGATTTTAGCGTTGCAAATCCCTAGACTTACTGCTGTCCCACCAGGGAACGTTAAATCACAGAAACACAAGTAATCATACTTTACATTTGGAATAACAATTATAACAACATTAGAAAACGAAATTAAAGGCAGAATGCACTTTTCAATTTTGTTTTGAATTGGTAATGTTAGATCGTATATATAGAAATAGTAGCAGTTACTGGAAAAATCCACTTTAAAGAAACATTTGATTAGTTTTCTCTTTATGACTATTACGGAAGTTTATGTTTAAACACTGATTATGTCAATCAAATTTTTCTTAAAATATTGACTTTTAATGACCAAGTTTGTGACACAGAATTAGAAAATATGACAGCATTTACATTATCCCAAAATAATATGTGGCTTAAAAAATAGCTCGGCATGGCCACGTGGTTAGGGTGCTTGACTCGCAATCTGAGGGTTGGAAGTTCGAATCCCCGTCCCACCAAATACGCTAACCCTTTCAGCCGTGGAGGCGTTAAAATGAGAGTCAATTCCGCTATTCGTTGGTAAAAGAGTAGCCCAAGAGTTGGCGATGCATGGTAATGACTAGATGTCTTTCCTCTAGTCTTTCACTGCTAAATTAGGGACGGCTAGC